ATACACGCGTATTGTACCATATGCAAATAAATGGCTCCATACACACAGCCGCGTATAGAGCCGTATATTTGCGTAGCATATATATATGCAAAAACACAATGGAACAGAGATGCGTCCCGGCAGCGTATTTAGACGCGTATATACGCAATATACAATTTTGCTTGCGTTGTGTGTGAATGAGGCCTTAGAATGATCTGATCACAAAACTGACTAAACAGAATTACAAATCTTTTGCCAAGTAAAAAAAAATCACCTTTATGCATTTAATTGTTTCCAGCTCTGCTTCATGAGTCCCACATTCAAGTTTATGGCTGATGGAATCGTTATGTTTTTAAAAAGAATAACCATGCTTGGAGTACCTGTAGAATGTATTGGTGAAGTCTGCACTGCACAGAATCATAAGAAGTGATGTTTGTGAATAACTGTTGGTAAATTAGGGGACATGAGTTGGCTGCATGATCTCAAGAGTGCAAGGTAATGGCACACCCACTTAATAGTTAAACCTAGATTAGCAGTCACAGCACTCTGATTTATATTCTTTATTATGTCTCACACGTCACAAATTCAGCAATTATTAAATTTAAAAATGAACACCAGAAATATATCAAAGACATAATAAATGCTGCTGGTTGCTACTTTATAAATCACTAAATAGACTGAAAGCGCTGTATGAAGTTTGGAATAACTGACTCTTCATTATTAGGTTATATTTGCACTATACATCAGTGGTTCTGGATGAGCATCTGGCCAATTTGGCATAAGGGGATGGTCTGCATGGCACTGCCCACTGTCCGGAAATGAGGGATAATCCTCTTAATTTTGGGATATGTGATGGAATGAGACATGTGAAGACCTTGTTCTAGGAAGGCTTTACTGTGCAATGCAATATTTTGTTTCTGTCATGCTGCTAGTAACTGGATTTGTCTTGGTATCAGCCCCTCCCCAACCCCTAGACAGACAGATGACCATATTCTCTTGCTGCTTATTCACTGTCCAGTCAACAGGCTGGAGTGGAGAGAGGACACCACTGTATTGCTTATACAATCTGTAACTGCAACATGAAGCAAATGCCTGACTGTGCTGTGTTGCAGGGCTCTGTAAATCACTGGGTGGGCAGAAATACAAATCAGGTGAAGCAGATCCCTTATATGTATTTTATCAGTGTATGTATCTGTTTTCTAGGAGTTCAGCTTTATTACTACTACAGAGTCACTTTGCTGAATATCTGTATTGTGTGAATAAAGAAGAAGAATACAGACCATGACAAGCGGTTTATTTTGCAAAACAATCACTATACAGCAACAAATACAACTGCAAATTGGATTGAAAACATGAACTAACTACCACCAGCCATTCAATAAACATCTCCCTATTACAGGCTTAAAAGGTCTCAGGGAAATGCACAAGTTTCGCAAATCACACCCCTCACAGTCCAGCACAGAAATAATGCACTGTTTTTTCTTTTCCATTGCTGAAGTTGAACATTTTATCTTCACTGTTCAGTTTGAGAACAAATGTTAATCTTGAAAATGGTAAAAATACTTCTACATGGGTATTAAATGTGAAGATAAAAAAAATAAAGCCTTTGATAGTGCATTTTATTTTGCAGATCTAGTACGCCTCTACTTTCAAGCAGACTTCGAATGAGGACCACACATAACTTATCTGATTGGTTGTTTTGGCTTCCTGCACTTTCAACATCATCATTACTTTGTGCAACCCGTTTCCTTAAAAGTTTGATTGATTTATATGTGTTACTGTTTAATTCTCCCTCTTATGAATTTCTACTGAAGGATACAATCTGTAGTAGGCATAAACCCCAGCATTTAGCTAAGAACATAAGCAAAACGACCTTCAGGTAAATAGAAAAAAAGTACTTCTATTAATGCCCAGTGCCAGACTGGAACACAGGTATCCTGGCATTAAAAGCATTCTGGGTAGATCTTTCTGCATGGCGGAAGTTACTTTTTTTTAAAGTCCGCTGAAGCATTAATGTGAGTGTATTGGTAAAGGAGTTACTAGGGCCAAAGCAATCCACCTGACAGATTCCAAAATTGTCAGATTTACAATCTTGGACAATGGCTGCTCACTATGATATAATTTACTAACGCCTCTCACTTTATAAAAAAAATTACTCTTCGCACAAAATATTATTGTTTACGTTTTTGCATGATTAAGACTGGAAAATGATGGATAACATAGACACTGCTGGCCATTATCATACACTATAGAATAATACAGATACTCAGCAGCTACAAAAAATGTAAACCTTTGTAAAGTAACTAAACTGTCAGATCCAAAGCCATTCAGTTCATTTAAATTTCAAATGATTTACATGTGGTCATATATAGGTAACAAATAAATCACAGGGCTCAATATAACCCAGGGGTTATGCAATATTTTTGCAGCAGAAAGCATTGTAGTTTCTCACCTTAGGCTCTTTGACATTAAGCCCATTGTGGCCAAAATAATTAATAGGCTCTACCTCTCTTTTACTATTTAGTCACCGAAGCCCTCTCCAGGCAATCAGCTTTATTTATATTTCCCCCCCAAAAGTTCCTTATTTCTAAAAGTCAAATCTTTATGTTATTGTAGAGAATCTGAGAGGGGAGCGGGGTTTAGCAGTACTTGCATGCCTTTCCCGTGGAACATCCAAGCCGCTATTTGAACTACATTTGCCCACAGTCATGTAGCTGTAGAAAACGTTTGACTGTCACTCACACAGGAGGAGAAGACAGACGTGGCTTTGCAATGATAGGCAAGCAGTAAGTGGTGACATTTCCCATGTCCTACTACACTGTTGTAGTCTAAGTGGGTACAATGTGGGCACTGGGTGTCAATGCTGCAGTAATTTCACCACTGTACTAATAGTGTCATCAATGCAAAAACAGAAGTCAAGTTTCAGCTGGAATGGCCAGATCAACAGGTAAACTTCCTTGCAAAAGACACTATGTAAATGAGATGTGCTACAGACATGCTCTGTATTACCTGCAGCATATATGTGATTTTGACTTTTGACCAAAGTTCCACTGTAAGGGACATTTGTTATAAATGTAAAATGTTTACAGGCACCAACCAAGCTGTACCAAATCCAGGTGGTTTGTGAAACATCAGCTACTTTACTGTAGGAAAGCACATGTAATAGTCACTTAGAAATAAAATACTGTACAGGGAAGGAAAACACCTGCAAAACATCAAGAAATGCTGACTGCATGCAGGATAAATATAAGACTGAAGCAGTCAGCATGAGCTTTTATTTCTCTTATAGCATTGGGAACAAAGTGATCTAGAATTCCTGTCATGTACCAAACTTTATGCAATTGTACAGCATGTATACAAATGCTTACATAGCTCTTCATTTTAAATGCCGCATCAGTTTAAGTGTGAGACAGAACACGGCCACAAGCACAACACACCTCTAAAGATAGTTCATTTGTACAAGGTTGCCTAGCCAAGTAGCTTTGATGACTTCCTTAGATCAGTGTATTTAATACTGTGGACTAGTTACATGTCACGCCTAATATGCAATCCCTATTTGTCCCATAAACGCCTTAATTTAAAGAGCCATTAGCTTGTTCATGTTACTATTATTAAAATGATCAAAATAGCTGATGTTTTTTGAGCTTGCACTGATGATAGAACAGATCATTACAGAGACATACTGTATAGATCACAAATATTAACTGTAAATGTAATGTGTCTTTGATATGTCAAAGGAATTGTCACAGGCCTTAGTAAACATCCTAAAATAATTTTTTACGCTAAATATGTAACTGGTTCTCAAGCAGTTCACTTGCAAATTCATGCAGGCAAGCCACTTTTAAACCACCTTGGGACACTGAGCACTGGTACAGCTTATCTACACCCTGCACACTATTAAAGAAATATACAATACTCTCACGGTAGTCCAGCAGCTGTTCATCCAATCGAAAATATGGGACAAGTAAACTACTTGAGAAATGCCCATGTGGACACCTGACAGAAATACCAACATTAAAGACTTAATTTGTCTATCTTGATAAGGCTTAGAGCGCTGGGTAAATTTTGGAAGGGGTAAAATAAATGTTACCGCTTATTTCCAATTTCAGAAGGATAGCCATGCAAATATTTGCACTGTCTGCTACAACTACATCAATTTCCTTATCATCACAAAGTACTATGTACTTACCTACTTCCTCTGTAAACAGTACTACTAAATGCTTCCCCATGATTTTTTTAAAAGGATTTTATTAGACTCTGCAGAAGACATCTTATCTAGTATCTTAAAATTATTATTGTGAACAAAGAGTGTAAGTAGAATAGGATCTGCTTACAGAGCAAATAATTCTGAATTTACAAGACACTATTGCAAGACTGGCTGCTATGCAAACTGGTACCTACATTCCATGTACTTCCATGTACTTTAAATAATACTGTTGGTGGCTATAGATTATCAGTTTAAAACACATGGCAGCTTCTTTCAGGAGAGACAATTTAAATAATAACCTATTATTATTGGTACTTGTAGCAAAATAGTAGTTGGAAATATATGAGTATATAACATGTGTGTGAACTTAGCGTTAGGACTTCTACAGTTTTCATAAGCCCTCATTAAGCCTCAGTGATGTGTGGGGTTACCTACTGGTTGGTCCCAGTTATAATGGAATACTGCACTGAAAGATTGTGTAAAATATAAAGACTTTTCAATCCATAATCAATACATGTACTTTTGTTCAACTTTAGCAAACAGAAAATCAAAATCAGGCAGTTCTTTCCTACTGAATCTTTGTAAGTGAAAAAACAGGAACCTTCAGGATTAAAAACCAATGCATACGGCAGCCCTTTTCAAATGAGGAGCAAGAGAAAAGCAAAATCATTGACAAAACAGCTCTCGTTTTGGAGCATTCCAGCAAAAAAAGGAAATCTAAGACAGCCAATGCTTCTTAAGAAGGAGGGCAACATCATGCTTAAGAGCTTTTCTGCATTTGGTCTTCTTTGTCTTAAATATACGTCGTTGCTTTTTTCTTTTGTTCTGTTTTTTTTTTTCTTGCTTTGCGTATTTTTTACATAGGAAAAAAGAGAAGCTTTCCTAACATTAAATTATGCCTACCTAAAACTGCTTTACCAAATGGTGCAACAGACACAGATACTGTGAGTAAGAAATGGAATCTTCAAGTATATGAAAAGGGTTTCAGGGGATATGCATGAAAACATGGCCACAGAGAAATATATATACATCTAGATTAATAATACTGTATCAAACAGGTGGAAAAAAGGTGTTGGAAATGTCTGCCTATGCACAAAGCTAAAATTTTCTGTTCATGGCCTCAGCTTCTTGGAACGTCTGCGATGTGCCATGTTACAAAGCAAAGCAGGCATTCTAGTAGCTAACAGACCATCAAATATACAGGTACTAGTCAAAAAACAAGTGCTTTATTTACTGCTCCCTTACAACAATGTTCCCCAAAACTTACTTGAAGAATCTTCCTCAAATTGGCTGCTTTCTCTGCCATTGCAATGGCATGACCGACTGCTTGCTAACAAGATTTGCTTTTAACCTCGGAAAGTGGCATATGTTTGTCTTCTCTTAAACACATCTTGCTTAATCTCTGACACAGCACAAAGCTTCAATGGGTTTGTTAGCCTATGGGGATTAGGAATCTGATGGAACAAAGAGCTTAATCACTGTCTGAACTGAACAAGATGAGCAGCCGCTCTGACTGGACATGGCTCTTACGCAAACATTGTTCAGGTGGCTGGCAGGCACATGTTGAAATTACACCGAGTATTTCAGGGCTCCATGCAAGACTAGTTAAGAGCAGTGATAACAACTTGGGTGATGCTTTGGGAATACCATATTATGTGACATTTGGTCTTCTAATTCCAGTGTACAATGATGAAGTATGACCAGACCTACCAGTCTACAGTTATCCTAAGATCATTACTTGTTGTCTGTAACATAATGGGTACATCTGGTATCTTCACGTGGAAAATCATGTATACAATGAAAGAACCTAGAAGTGTATAGGTTAGGCATGAAGTGATATTTGCATCTTTCGTGTTGAAGGATAAATAATGAATGTGACACCTGCTTTGAGCCCAAATCCTGCCAAGAGCTCATGCGTAAATATTTTTGTTATTAATATTATTTAATATTAACGTCATACACTGCTAAAGGTAGAACACATTCATAAGCCCTGTTTAGCTAGGGCTGCAGTGACATCTTCAGCTAGAGTAGCAAGCTGTGGGGATTCTAGCAGGTTGATACTTCCAGAGGATGACACATTGCTGAGACGCCGTGGAGAAGCCACGCTGGACCTTCCTGGAGATTGTGAGACAATGTCAGCTCCATGATCTACCTTGGCCTTGGCCTGTTCTCGGAAGTGCAGTTTCTGGCTGTCTATCTGCAAGAGGAAAATAGGAGAACAATATAAAGTGATTTAGTGTTATTTGCACACTTCATAAAGCATGTAGGTCAGCGATGTGAGTTGGAAAATGTGTTTCTATAAACCAATGCTCCGAATTCATCTTCGGCTAACACATTTCTGGCAATGACTCAGGGCTGCTATCCAGGAACAACTCTGCATTGAAACTTACTGATTAATGAAAATGGGATCCCTGAACACCCAAAAATTATAAACTACGATGCTTTAAAGATGAACTCCAGACAAAAACATTTTTAAATTTGACAAGTTGCTAGATGATTTTCTTTCTTTGTTTTTGAAAAACTCATTCATAGCCCCTTTTATGTGGGTTCCAGACAACACATAACCCACTCTATGTACAATGCAGTTATACCCAACACTGCACTCTGCCCCATTCCTGCAGCCAATCAGCAGTTGGAGTCTGAATATTAACTATGGGGAGCTCATTTGTAAGTGCCCATAACTCCACATTATCCAAGTTTTCTGCTGTTTGTATCCTAACAAAAACTGTTGGTATTATTTTATGAGATACCAACCAACAAAGGATACCTTATCTTTACACCATTGCATGGAACACATGCTATGGGATTTAATGTAGTTGTTGTGTATGCAACCTATACAACTTATCTGAGACAGCTAATAGAGCATGTTTTTTCAATCTATTCACAAAGTGAAAGGCTTAGTGATATTCTTATTATTTCTTTATTTTTATACATGTGTGCTGCTTCATGGAAGTCTGGAAAATAGGAGATATTATTTGCAAACTAGGGCTGAAAACATTGAAATATTAAGAAGTGCAGCTAGCATGAATACCTCTCCAGCTACACGGACTACATCTACCACTGAGTGTACAGAATTATCCTTCATAATTCATTCCACTCTCCTTCAGCTTAAATGTACCTACAACCCCAGGTCTACCGATTATATGCTTTAGTTGTCCAAAGATTGCTATTTGCCAACTTTTAACAGAATGGCTCTGAAATGCTTCTATGCTTGTGAAATGCCCTACTATGCTTCAGTTATACCATGATTTCTTATCTTACATGGCTTCTGCTTAGACTTTGAGCTCTATCCTTTCTACCAGCATCGTTTCATTTTGTTGTTTTATAATGCATGTGAAAATGTTTAAATAACATGTCCTACTAATACACATGATAAAAAAAATAAACTGTTAATATGATCAGTTCTTTTACCTTTATGTTGCCCCCTCCAGGCATATGATGGGCATTTTCTAGAGAACCAATCTTTGACTGGGCCTTCTCTTTGAAGTCCAGTTTAACACTCTCAATCTTCACATGTCCACCACCTGCAAAGAGCACAATCATAAGACTAAGACCAAATTCAGATTTATTTACACATATCAGCTAAAAGTGTCTATTAGTTGAATAGTAGAAGGGGGCCCTTACATTGCTAAAAGGACATATCAAATCTATGAAATAATATTATATATATATATATATATTGATAATATATCAAATTAAATTAAATGGCAAGTATACTTCAATGTGTAATGAATGAAAACTGTAAGACACTCATAGAATTCCACAGAACAAGAACAAGCATTCAGCAGATCAAGTCATAGTAAATCTAAAACTCCTGAAAGTCACACCTATTTCAGATCACAGAAACAGAAAGCCCTGGGTCTGTTGTGAATGCAATATCTGTCAAAAAAAAGTGTAGGGGTTTCATTAATAAAGATTGATCTAGGGATGTTCTCAGTTTAGCTTTAGAGTAGACGTTCATAACCATGAACAGTTGAAAGGATTAGATAAAACTATTCATGCAGATTTCAGCTCAGTTTTTTTTAACTGATTTTCAGTGTGAGTTTGTTTTAAATTAATTTATACAAAACATACTACAATATGCTGTTTTATTTCTAAGTAGAGGTCATCAAGATTTCTATATTAATTTAATTCAGTTTATGTCAGTAAGTACACCTGTCTTCTAAACAACATTCTTCCAACAAAGAGGCCAAATGCCAGATGTCAGTTAAGCAATACTGATCTTGTGATCTGTCAATCATGTGAATGCTTATCATATCTTCTGATGAGAATCACTAAGCAACATAGACCGGCCTCCTGATCTGCTCTAATGGTTTATATACAGGTATGTCATCTTTAGGTCCCTGTCTCAGTAGACAATCACATTGTACCTTTCAATGTGGGAGAAAAATAATAAACACATTTCGCAATCACTCTTGTGTACCTTGTGTTCTTTCTGATTTTGATGTAATGTTTTATTCCAGAAAGGTCTAATCTAAGAACGCCCATTTATAGCAAAATGGTCATCATATATAACACATTGCGGGGTTGAAGGTTTTAACACCACCTTAGACAATACTATTCAAAGGGTTAGTTTGTTGAATGCTTTCAAAAATGATTTCCAAGCATGTCTAAAAACTGAAAGAAAATACTTTTACAGACAAGACGTCTGCACACACTTGGAAACACCCGCACTTTACAATTATAGGAAAAGATGCTTAGAATGTCCCTAATTCTGTTTCTGTGTAAACAACACACTTTGGAACAGTCCTTTGCTCCACTAACAAGCACACTCACTACTTAACAGATGAGCATTCATTTATCCATCCACTACTTAACACATATAGAATGGGTATTCTGGTTTAAACAATATTCGTTTATATTGCGAAAAAGGTGAACTGGCTGAAGCAGAGATCTGGCCTGATGAATACGTTTATTCACTTATTACATCACCAAAATATAGTTTATGCATATATTATTATTTGCTTTTAAACTATGACTTTAATTTGAATTCATTCACTACAGCTATTTAACTTTTCTGGAGTGTTTTGTGCAGCCCCAAGTCAAATTACCTGCCAGCTGAACAGAATATGTTTAATAAAATTGCTGATCACTGCATTGAAATCTAAAGCATGTTGCTAGTACTATATACTAGTTGACAAGCTCTGCAGTGACTCGAACCTCCAGTTCTGAAATATTTTCAGCTACCCATAATAAAAGGGTTTTGTATAGAGCCTAACACTCAATATTCGATTTAGATTTCACACCCAATATTTAATTCAGTTAGAAGGCAAACATAAAAAATGTGTACAAACTCCAAGAACTCTGGGTAATATTTGAACAAGGATTTGTTGAGCTTTATAGATTTATTTGATTTACACATATGATACTTTAGCTAAGTAACTGTTCTAGGCACCAAGGTTATATTCATCTGTGTCAAAATGAATAACAGGAAATCCAGATGTTGTTTACCTGGCCTGTGGCGTATGTTCCTTAGAGATCCACACTTGGATGTGACATGGCTAAGGTCAATCTTCTTACTTACAATGTGGATCTGTAAGAAAATCAAGAGGGAGAAATTAGGACATATAAAGAATACGAAAACCCTTCACCAGAAAAGTTGTTGGGGAAGCTGGAAAATAGTTTTTTGTAAGAGCTGGTTCATGCGTCAGAGGCAGTGAGGAAAGACTGGTCAGTGTTGCAGCAAGCATCTACTTACTACTATATTCAGAAGACATTAGTAATGCACCCAGGAGTGGTTACACACAAGCAGCCAACATGGATGGTCACAATTTTATGCTGACATTTAATGTCATGTGTTATGTTATTTTAAACATAAATTATATCTGCAATCAAGCCAATAAAAGGAGTTTTTACTGATATGACATTCTTTGCCTATCGCATGATATCATCACCATGCTGACTGACATGACCTGAGAGTTCTAAATACTGCCCAAAGTTTGCCAACACAGAGATGCAAATTGTAAAGAAGATAGCCCAGGACCTCAGCTAAGGTTGCAAGAAGGCATCTATAATACCGAACCTGCAAACCAGTGCAAGTTACCCAAACTAATAACTATAACAGCTATCCTTGTAGTGTTCAATTAAACTTATTGACACATTATACACACACTATTGTGATGCTTTCAAATGGAGAAAAAAAATAATTAATGCAAAATTGGTGTTCATTTTTGGTGATTGCCCAAGATATCTCTTGGAGTTTCCAGACATGCACAAGACCTCCCAACTTTGTCTGCTTTCTACAGCCATCAACAGTCCTCACTCTATACTGCTAAAAATCTCCATTTACATTACAGATAATGCAGCACGGGAAACGTCCTTTGCTTGGCTAAGTAGAGTATGTGATGGGACAAGAATTAGGATCTTGAGACCCAAAGAGACCCAGAGACATGACACCACTGTTTGTCAATAATTGTCCTACTACCGTAGTACTGGCCTTCATTGGTTTTATTTCACTAAACTATGTGGCACCAGATTAGCTGCTCAAGTAAACAAAGCTTTAAATTGTTACAGAAGTGAACATTCAGTAGACAGACACACAGAACAGACCAAGTGCTGACAGGTTAGGTGAGGCACAGATAGGGGTAGAACCTTTGAGGATCTTGAAAGGAGCACCAAGGAAGTGGCGGAGGAGATCCCATCATAAATTGTGCCCTTACTTACTTGACCTCCCCCAGCACTATGACTGACGTTATCCTTGGAGCCACAACGAGATTGAACATCACTATAATCAGTCTTCTCACTTAAGATCTTAACCTAAAATGAACAGGAGGCAGAGTAAGTGTGCCCAAGTTATATAAAGAAGCACTGAAAACAATGCCACTACTGTACCTTATAGCTGTCTGATTCAGAAGTAAAGATCCACTGCTTTTGTATTGCAGTGGAAAAGAATAATGCAAAAACCTTACATTTTGATAACTGCAAATGCATAATGGGGATTATGGGGGTTATTCACAAAGCTGTCAAAGGATCTAGCCGTAGCTTCGGCTGATACTTCGGCTAGCTTCGGCCCCAGGACCCCTCAGTAGAACCGAAGGGCTGCTGTACGGGCTATTCACTACAGCCCGTACAGCTCCCGAACTTAGCCGAGCGGCTCAGTCGAGCCGAATGTAAAATTGGAAGCTGGCCAACCGAAAGCCTGCTTCTGGCAGCTGGGCTGAGTCAGCCGTCATCTAACGGCTGGCTCCGGCCACTTGCAGAGACAGATCAGCATCCCTAGTTACCAGGGACGCTGTTCTGTCATTACACTGAGAACCCGGCTCTAGCCTGGTGCTGGAGGTGATCCTCCCTGATGGGCTGCACGTTGGGCTTGATGTCCTGCTGGCGCAGGGGACTGGTGGACCATAGCGCTCCATCCCCGTGAGACAGTGCCGTGATCCACAGGTGTGCGTGGCTCAGAGGGTGAACGTTGCTCTGCAGCGTGTAGTCGCTCTATACCAGAGTCTGTGCATCCCTGTATGTCGAAGCCTGCTGCATGCCACCGGGCTCGGTGTGCATGATGGATGAGCTGGAGCTTACACAGTGTCATTACACTGAGTGTACAGTGTCATAACACTGATAACCCGGCGGAGCCGCTGTGATATCACGTCGGCTCCTTCGGGTTCTCAGTGTGTAATGACACAAGGGCATCCCTGGTTACCAGGGACACCCATGTGTTATTAAGATAAGAGCTTAGCAGATCCGGCGGTAATATGAAAGCCGACTCTGCTGAGCTCTCATGGTACTGACAGTTCAGCGTCCCTGGTTACCTGGTAAACAGAAGACGCTGATCTGCCAGTACCATGAAAACTCAGCAGAGCCAGCTTTGATACCACTGCCGGCTCCGACAAGCTGTCATTGCAATGACAGCTGGTCCCGGCCAATAGAAAACAGTCGGGCAGAGCTAGCTGTCACTGCTAGCTCCACCCAATCGTTTTCTCTCTTTTTTCAACTGTTTTTCTATTCTGCTCGGTACAACAGAAGGTACCTAGCAGAGTAGCCGAGCCAGAGGCCCGAAGCCGGCCGCAAAAAGCCGTTGTACGGCTGATTGTAGTCGATGTACGGCTGAAATCAGCCATACAAGCCTGAAGTGAATAGCCGAACAGCGTTCGGCTCACTTCACTTCGGGTCTGTTATTCACTCGGCTGCCTACGGCAGCTTTGTGAATGACCCCCTATGAGTCCTCTATGAATTTTGCATGATAATGTCTTTTTTCCATGAAAATAAATCAATATATAAGCAAGCCTACATGTATTGCACTAAGCACATATAAATAAATAACATAAAGCACTCTATCCTTGATCAATGCCGCTCTAAACAATCTTTTCCCAGTAGCTGGATATGCTAAATGCTGCTAAATTGGGTAATTTTTTTAATCAAGTAATTTAGTTGTTGGTTTTGGACTATATTATATTACTAAGTGTACTCACTTCTAGTGGGCATTCTACCGCAAGGCTTATTATTGGTTCCTTTTGAGAAAGCAAACAATTGTTTTATAAACTGAAATCATTTAAAATTATGTTCCAATACATTAAAGTAGATGTGAACACTAGCTGAATGTCATTTAGTTTGCTAAAGGACTGTGCATCATAAACAATTGCCTTTATTTCAAAATAAAATACTATTTTCACTTTTCATCAATTGTTGCCGATCAGTATTGCTGATCACCTGTAGCCTCTTTGCATCCATTTCCTGTCCACATGCATGCATTCCAGCAACTGTTCATTTCTCAGGGTGGATTCCCTGATAATAGCAAAACTGGACCATGCCTGTGGAAATTGAATTAGCGCATCGGCTTGTAGTCTCCATAGGGAGAGTGTGTGACAGGCTGACAATGCAGGAGAACAGTTGAGAGACAGGGACAGAGTGTTGCCACTCTATAACAGAAAGTAACCTTCGTGGCAGGGTGACTGCTTAATAGTTTAATGAAGGCTGCAGATTTAAAAATATTAAAAAATAATTGAAATTACATTAATATTTTAAATCTTATATGCGGTTTATATGATTATGTTTACGTATACTTTTATGGTAATATCACAGTATTTTGTGGTCCACAGAATGGAAGCTATTACCTGTCCTACTTTGGGCTGATACCTAATGTTGTCTGTGGATCCAATCTTAGACCTGATGTTCTTCAGGTCAGGTAGTGGCTGGTTCATTAGACGCAATTGTTTCAATGTAGCCGGGGATTTTGGAGGTGTTCGGAGAATAGCCACTTTCCTTTCTGTAGACATGTATATGGCAGATTTCGGAGTTCCTGGAGTGCGCGGTGTACGTGAGTAGCTTGGTGTTCCTGGTGTGCCCGGTGTTCTTGAAGCATAGCTTGGTGGTGTTCCAGGGGTAATAGCTGTAGATCCAGGTGTAGTTGGGGTAGATGTTCCACTCTTTCCTGTTCTACTCCATATTGGCTCAGATCCTGAATATAGATTAGACACAGTTTGGGCAAGAGTTCAACGTTTATAAAATGTATTAAAACAATTGTCATTAGTATCTACACTGGTAAGTTTAGCAAGACTTTAGAAGTTTCTCCACAAATAGTGATTAACAAATATATAGCATTAATACAGGGGCGGCAAAGAACAGTATTTGGAGGGAGTTCTTTTGATTTTTCCATACAGAATGAAAATCAGATGCACTCCCCAAACTTTAGTGTGTTTCACAAAAATAAAGCAGACCTTGCATAAACAGGAATCATAAAAAGCTAAATGTTTGTATAACAGGGTAATTGTCAAAGTGCATAGTTAGAGAGGGGACAGGCTTTCCATAATTTACAAGATGACAACATATTTTTCGAACATAGAAACAAATCGTATGCAATCATTGTGCATGATTCTCCTTGCAAATTGTTTCTTTGTTGCTATGGGTTCAGCTCCTTTTCTCCATGCTCCCCTTCTTAGATGCTTCTTCACTACTCTCTTCCTTCCCTAGTTCCCTGTCTACCTTTCCTTACAGCTACACCACATAAATGTTCCTATCAGCCATGAGTATCTGAGATTTTCTAACTCACTGTCCCCAGGGCCGATGCTAGACTATTTTGCGCCCTAGGCAAGACCAGCTACTTGCACTCCCCAGCCCCCCTCCCGCGGTGCAACCCCCAATCCCCACCACGCGCGCAGCCCCATTTTCCTGCCAGCTAGCTTCCGCACGCGACAGGTGAATATAATTTAATGTGAAATAGTCAATAGCAAGCTGGCTATTAAAACCCCACCCAGCCAGCAGAGGAGCGGACCTGAGAGAGAAAGTTGCTATTGGCTTTTGCTATTTTGGAGGCTGCACCATAGGCAGCAGTGCGCCCTAGGCGGCTTCCTAGTTTGCCTAGTGGTAGAACCGGCACTGACTGTCCCTTCATCTTCCCCATAAATAGGGCTCTCTTATTCCCAATTCCCTTCTGCTGTGTTATCTCAGCTTCTTGGCCCCTCCGGTGTCCCACTCTATAAGATAGAGGGCTCAGCAATAGTGTAATGCACAAACACCAGACTTTTTCCCTGAGGTCTAAACTGGTCTACCCTGAAAATGTAATAAGTACCTAATACATAACCACATAAGACATGTGTGTGGACAGAGCAATTTGCATTACTCTACAGTAGTTCTACTTTAATTGTGCAAAAAACTTTAATAGTATTATGCAATGCATACAACGTATTTAATTATTATAATAATTTGGAACATTTTAAAATGTATCGGATTATATAAAAAAGCAACAGAATTAAGAATGATGTGCAGTAAAGCCACAGCAACCAATGCAATTGAACGATTTGTTCATTTTGAGAACAGAGCAATGAAAGATGATTTCTTATTGGTTTATATGGGTTACTACACAATAATCAAAAGTCCAGACTTTTTGGAAAAAGTGGAGAAGAGTTAGAGACCCAGTAAGAGCTTGTGCCGTCACGTCCTACCCTGGTAGCCACACGGAAAGTGAGAGGAATCTGAGCAGAAGGGACATACACATAAAATAAACACATGACAGGGGTTCCAGCCCTTCCCCACCCTATCTGAGACTAAAAAGTAAAGGTCGGCAAACATACTGGTGGTACGTCTCACTGAAGAAGACACAGAAGTGCTGGTGGATATAGAGTTTTCTTCCTTATCTATAGGGATGATCTTCCTGGTGGGATGGATGGAGGAAGGTCTAGGCAAGGATGAGCGTTTTTCTGGACTCTTATTCCCCCCATCCTAAACAAAGCACCAAAAGGTAAAGAAATTACAACATTGTAAAAATTGCTTTTAGAAAAATCCTAGTGAAATAACAATAATTCATTTATTCCTAGTAAACTACTAGCTTTACTACAGCAAGTGAGAGACGCTGTAACTTTATTTCCTCTAGCATCTTTAATGTGTTATTTGTGTATTTCTAAAACTGAAAGAAAAAAGAAAATGAAGTAATGTAATAATAATGAATATTTCCAAAGTGTATGCATTTTACAGTTTAAAAAAATCAGAAACATATTTTCCATGACTCTGTATTAGAAAAAAAAATCAGATCATAGGATGGTATTAGTTACTATAAGGTGCCTGCTCCCAGTTTGTTCATAATATCTCCTCTCCTGATCTGCCACTTCAGTCCCATACAGTTCTGCGCATGTTTCAAATTTTTGAAAGTTGGAACAGCACAGGGCTAAGCAAAGCCCACCCCATGTGATTGTGCTTAGCTGCAGTAGGTACATTACAATGTAGGGCAATTTTTTGTTGAATGCTTTGTACCTGGCATTCTTGATATATCAGCGACTAAATCCCAGTCCTGATCTGGGTAACAGCTCCCATGGGTTCAGCAATGGCACCACAATAAAATGGCATAAAATCTGTCACTTCTGGTGCCAAGGCTCAGAGTGTCAGGGCACTGGAGGTGGAATTTTGCTTTGTCAGGCTTATTGAGTGTTTTACATAGAAAAGCTCCTCTCAGTGTCAAGTGTCTATACCATATGTTACCAACTACAGCTATTCCTCTACCTATGTCAGAAGTGTTAAAAAGGGCAGCACCGTGCCTCAAATTTGACAAATTATTTTCCCTTCCTCTTCTGTCCACCCCTGGGCATCTATGGTTAAATTCAACAAGAGAACTGTACAAGGGAAGGGGAATCAGGAGTAAGAAGAGCTTAGAAACATAACCCTGTCTCTCTTTTCTCTTGTTTAGTGGTTTGTACAAAATAAAATTAGTTCTGTATATGAAGTATATTGTATTCCACCTCCTAACAGTGCATTCTAGCATTAGTTTTCCCTAAAAACAATCAAAGGACACAAGCAGAGGAGCTTCACAAAAGAGCATAATCATTTAGGTGGGTCTAGGGCCACATGATGTCAAGATATTGCCTTGATGTATTGTTGTGCCTGTTTCTGTAACCAAATTGATATTAACATATATAGAGTCATAACGAAGTGGCTGGGAGACACTAGCACCCTTTTCCTGCCATTGAATACTGTCAAACCGACTTTACACATTATTGAGTTTCTATGTGTCTTTGCCCAATGGATCAGAAATCATTTTGTGTTTTTTATCAGCTCCAATGACAACACAGAAGTCGCAGGGAAATCTCCCCAGTGGGGTCACAGTCAGTAATAACACTTTAAAGTAGTCTTAAAGTGGACCTTCACTCCCTTTCACTAAAAATCACATCAGCATACAGCTCTGCATGCTGATTTAAAATCATCTTGCATTCATTAGTTTAAACAAACATGTTTTCCATTTACTTACAAATAGAGTTTATCACTTCCCGGTCCAGTTTTGGCACAAATTATGTAATGTGCTCAAGCATTGCATCCTGGGAAGGTTACACCAGCAGAGCATTGCTGGGAAATCTCATCTGTAATTTCATGAGATCTCAGGGAAAGGCATTTCCTCCCCTAAGATGATGTGCATGGTCACATGCCCTAGTCACATGTGCCAGAGTTCCAGGAAGTAAAGTGAGATCTAGTAATCTGCCCTTAGCAAAAATGGCCACTGTCATAAGACTGGAGAAGAAAAGAGAAACAAGGTATGCAAAGAATACAAAGCCGGCAATTATCTAGAAGTATGTGTTTGTAGATTGCCATTACTAAACATTTCTAATGGTGTGTATGTTGTTATTTTTAAAGATCTGGGTAAAGTTCCTTACCCAGAAAAACTGCAAAAGAAAAATCTCGAGTTGTGCTTTAAAATTACATCGTATCTGGATGGCCTACGATTCAAGCCAGGTTGCCCTAATTTGCACTCCTATAGCCTGTTTCTAATAGATTTTGCATCTCTCTAAAATGTATTCTTCCTAAAAGAAGGCAGAAGTTTTTACTACTCACAGGGGTCCTGTCCTTGGTTTGCCGAAGGGCACTTGGCATCTGCTGAGAATCTCCCCCTGTTGGCATAGCAGGAAAAAGAAAAACTTAATGGTTACAATCACTTATTTCAATGGGATGAAACCACCAGACAGGAGGTCCTGGTAGACCAGCTTCTTTTCACATCATAATTAATATCCCTCTACTTCTGCTAAGTGTTTTAGTTGTTCCTGGTTCTTTATGATGATTTTGCATTGTTAGCACTTGCTTAACAATACTGGCTAACATTATTTATTAAAGGATTGACATAAACAGAACCTGCTCTAATGAAAAATTGAGCAAAAGAATAAACATAAATGATCACTATACCTTTATCGGCTCACCTTAATACAGATTAATACATATTATAACCCATATACTGTACAATAACAGGCTTTACAGGACACGTGTACACATTTCTAATGGTATAGGCACCCAATTCATTCTACAGCAAGAATGAAATTCTAAACAATTACTCTCAACTTTCAGTCAATTTCCCACAGTGCTTTCCTAAATAACTGAAGAAATGCTAACTACTGGGAAAGTGACCACTTTATTACTGGAAACTTATTATTTTACAATTACTGTATCTGTATTTTCTTTGATATCTGTGTTTGACGGAAAATGTCTGCTTACCTAAATCTTGATTTTACCCTAAGGAAGCTAAACTGTTGTCATACCATAATGCTCTTAGGATCTGCAGCTGGTTTGACATACAAGCAGCAGATAAAGTGTGTGCATAATCTGTCAGTAAACTCTGAGCAATTAAAGTGGGCCTGATATCTGGTCTATAACCTGTTTGGGAAATGTCACCTCACTTGCAGTTCTGGTGACAACTTCGCTGAGACAGGTAACCTTAGCAATCTACCCACGTTTCTGGTTGGAAAAAAAATTACTTTATTTTTACACAAAATTTATAAAAAAACAGTAACTTTTTCGGGGTACAATCCACCTTGTACTGCGACATGGTCGCAAGAACACCACATAGCAATACAGTACAATCACACAAATAAATTACATTCACTCAGCGGCGTGATTCCTGACATGTAGCACATGAAAAAGGTCCTGGGAAATTTACCCTTTGGGGGTGAAGATAAAAATTAAAGCCTGAAAAGAGTTTTATCCTTATCCTTCCTAATTGAAAAATGTTTTATTGCTGTTTGATCCTTGTTGGAGAGATTTGTTTTTATTTTTTTGTCCTGGTGACCACCATCACTGGGACACAAAGTGAGGCATATCCCCACCCCCAAATAGGCAAATCAGACAATAAAATGAATGGCTGATGGTGCGATAGATGATGGTAAGTATAAAGGTATGAGGCTGATGGTATGGAAAGAGGAAAAACATTTCCACTAACAAACTGGAAAATAATGAAAAACACAGCACTGCAACCTCTTTAACAAGCACCAGCGCTTAGATAAGAAAGACTGTGGTTAGGTATATGCCATAGTGCAAGCATAGCAATGTGGGCTTATAAGCATCAGTAGGTGCAGAGGTAATAAGGCATGAAAAGAGATGGAGGTGAGATGGTCAAATGTTTTGTCGGGTCAATGATAGAACCAACAGATTTTATAGGCTTCAGGACTTATACAAAAATGGAGAAGCCAAGCTTGAATAGAGGTCGGGAGTTGAGACATCTATTGTCTGCCACATACAATGCTGTTTTAACACCTCTCTGTGGGCAGGTTAATAACACCTCCAAGACTCCAATTATGCAAATGCAATCAACACCTGGTTGTGACTAACAGATTATGTGGATTGGAGCAACATTCACTATATTTATTCTCAGATAATTTTTTGTACAAGTCATTCTGAATTGAGAAAGCTGGTTGGATTACCAGTGAAACATCTTCAAGAAAACAGCAAGTCCAGTAGCCTTGACTTATTTTTTTACAGATATTCTTTGCAAAGCATTTTTTGGGGCACATTCACTAAACTAAGGGAAAACTGCCCTGCAAAGTGAGAATTCCCTTGCAATGTAAACACCCAATTTCCCTTTAGTAAATGAACCCCATTGACTTAGAAAGTCACAAAGCAATTGGGGAAACTTGACATCCAGGGGACTAGGTTTTTCAGAAGGTCATCAATGGCAGCCTCCATACTTCTTCACTATAGCTTTCCTTTACTAAAACACAACATAAACGGACTTTGCCCTCCTCATGGTGAACCAATGAATGGCACATGCTGCTTAAAAGCATTTTTATGCTCCTTGGAGGTAATTACTTGAATGGTTGCCTTCCTGATGAATTGATATAAGCAAAATCTTGAAATCCTTAAGATTTGGAAGCCTTGTTTAGCATACCTCCAACAAGACTTAAGATCACAAAGTCTGGCATATATTACAATCCTCCCACTCATAGACATGTTCTCGTCCAAGTAAGCAGATTCTTTCTTTTTATTAACTTTCTTTTTTGTGCAATTAATTTTTCCTTTCTCTATATGAGTTATTTTACACCATCCATTAACCTACAACCTTTGTCTGTCTTTCTCCACTATCCCCTTCACAACCAATTAAACGTTTCATTCTAGAATGGGCCTTCACCTTATGGTTCATCTATAGTAAGTTGGTTACTCCACTTTTCTTCCCTTTTCTTATAGTGCTGCCTCACATATAAGATGTCCCCCTGTACATGGAAACAGCCTTTACCTATTATGTTTGCTATTTTACAATATGAATTAAAAAACAGAAGGTACAGTAGGATAGTTTCCAGTATTCTTATTGCTTATTGAAGTATTTCTTATCACTGCCCCTCTTTTCACAACCTTTAGTGATAATTCATGTAGACCAGGGGTACCCATTAGGTAGATCGCGATCTACCAGTAGATAGCAAAGCGAACACTGGTAGATCGTGATTGGCTCACTGACCTGTGTCCTGTCCTACCCGCGGTGCTCGTGCGGCTGAATGTGTCAGATGCCACAGACGGGAAGGAGAGAGGAGAGGAGACTTGGGAAGCTGCTGCAGTGGAGGTAAGAAAAGACAGACAGGAGAGAGACAGCAGTGAAAGTGAGAGAAGGAGACAGCAGAGAGAGAGAAGAGACAGCAGATAGAAACAGGGGAGAGAGAGAGAGAAGAGAGGGCCGGTTCACACCACAAAGTCTGCGTTCCAGAGTGTTCCGCCTCAAGAACGCATTGGAACGCAAGTCAATGGCACCGCAGCTACGCCCCCCCCCACCCTCAGTGTGATCGCCCGCACTTCGAACGCAGGCACATTAATGCCTGCGTTTCGGTCCAGTGCGATCTGCAAAAATGCAGCATTTTTGCAGATCGCACTGGACCAGAACGCAGTGCCAGCATTCCGGGTGCGGGCGATTGCACCCCTCCCGCCGCTGAATGCAGGGTTTTTTTCGTTGGTAGATCTCATTAAGCTCGTCATTTGAAAAGTAGATCTCCAGACGAAAAATTGTGGGCGCCCCGATGTAGACTATACTGTATACTAACTCCCTCGCTCAGTCCATTGCTAAACCGAGTGTCATAAAAGTTTCTTAGTCAAATCCCTGTTCAGTTCATGTATATCAATCAGTCACATAATGTATAAAGATGCGAGAGCAATGAAGGAAATTACAAGCATGTCCAATGTAGTTGAAAGCAAATGGCCCTGCTTGTGCATTCAAAGGTTAAAAGATAAATATAAAATATATTAAAATAACCTGACCTATTTTCTCATCTATCTGACCTTCTTAAATGCAATATCAGCTGGATCATAATAAAACTTTACAAGTTTTATCACTTTTCCTTCTTCTTTTCCTCTTCAAACACGAAAGAAATGTCAATATAATTAAATGTTTTATGTATTTTCAAACTGCCAACTCATTGTCATTGTCAGTTATGTTAGAAAAACTGTCACATTGTTTTGCTTGATGACCGTACAGGGCTCCGAAACGTTGCTATATTCTGTGACACCATGCTTATCTGAACGTCAATAAAGGACAGATATATAATGAGGACCTCGGGGTGCTGGTAACCTTACTGCTTTTCCCTCCCCATTGTCAGGTATGTGACCTGATTGAAAATTCTCCATTTTAGCGTTCAAAGGATCAGTCCACTTAAAACGAACAAATCAGTTATGAGTAACCCTAACCGGGTGAAAACACACTTGGGCTTTTTATAGTCTTGGAGACTTCCCCAAGACATTTATCCCTCATATTCCCACCTTACCATGAAACCTCATCTTAATATATTAATCTACATGATTTATGATATATAGAAAATTCTAGAAAAGTGGAATTCTTTTTTTAACACATGCAGCAGCCTGGACCTACTGCAGAGATGGTCAAGGATAAATGAGGACAGTTGGAGATTCAACCCACAAGCGTCTTCTAACTGAAATACAATTTAAAGATAGCAATCAGAAAGTTTGATCTGAAACAGGAGCGGCAACATGTGGCAATTGTGGGTCAATGGTTGCCGATTCATCACATACAATAAACCAGGGCCGGATTAAGGACAACCGATGCCCTAAGTACAGGCCAACAATAGTACCCCCTTGGCCCCTCCATTGCCTAACTGACAAGATATTAAGACTCAATAAGTGCCAAAGGTGAAATTAAGGTTTCAGAATCTACAAACCTTCTTCAGTTTTTTGTTATTCCAGGCCAGCCCTTTTTCATTTTATTTTACAGATTGGGATCAAGATCAAAGAACTGACTGAAGCCTTTTATTTAGCAAAGGGACATCACAGAGTTTCTCTCCTAGCTATACAGGATAAGTGCAATTTAAAACAAAGTACACTTTGAAGGCTAGGGGAAAAACTATGTGGTGCCCCCTCCCTTGGTGCACTAAGCCCCTGCTTATTTTACTTATTTTGGTTCATCCAGCCCTGTATTGAATGTGTAATACCTAAATGGTTTTTCAAGTTTATGTAGTACAGACTGAGATCACGCACACTTTAAGCTAACATATATAAGCACAAACAAGGAAGGGGGGGCTGTATTTACAGAAGATAGAAATAAATTAAATTAACTTATCTCTATGTTAGGCAAGAAAAGACTCAGAGGTGATGCAATTAATGTATGAGACAGAGGCAAATCAATGGAGATGTG